AGCTGTAGCAGCTGGAAGGACCACGCTGCTGGAAGGATGAAATCAGATTTTACTGTTATCTTTAAAACAGATGTACTTTAAAAGATCTCTCTTTTTGTGTTTAAAACACTAAAGGTGACAGTTGATGAAGCACCACCTGATAAGCCAGTTCCCAGCTACAGAAAGTAGTTAGTTCAGTTAATGAAGCCCTGTCTCCGAAAGCAGCACAGCAGGGTGTGAAGTGCTGCAATCAGTGCCACTGTCAGCTCTGATGTGCTCTCTGGTGGTGAGACGTCCGCTTCGGACAAGGGGACTGCACAAGTGGACGTGATGCAAGCAATCAGGTGAGAATATGAAGTGGGCTATGTGTTTGTGTAGGTGGATACATCCCTACATCTTGCTAAATGTATAAGATAATGTGTAAGATAGATAATCACCTTCCGAAGACTCCTCTCAGTCTTTATCCATGTGATTTCAGCTCTGATGCTGTCCTTGTGTGTAGCACATCTCTGGCAGTATCTGTGTTTCTCTTGCACGGGTGTCTTCACTCTGACCTGTTCAATCACCACAGAAGCATCACATAGGGAAAGCTGTAGTGCTTTCCAAATGGTGTCTCCTGTAACAAAAAGGACCTCATAATTAAGATTGATTTGGCAAAGCTGAAATCATTCCAAAGGGAATTGTGCTGCATATTCAGGTACTTAATAGCAGTTAAAGAAAATCCGAGTGAAAAGAAAATGCCCAGACAGTAGTAAAAGTCCCACTCTGAGTATGCTTCTGTCCCACTGCAGGCACTGTAAATGCAGTGCAGAGAACAAAGTAGCATGTAAACAACCAGAAATACTCTTCAGGAGCCAGTGACACCCACATCTGGTGAAGAGGGTCAGCAAATGCAAAAGTCCTAAATGTCCAACAGAGGCCTGGCAGGAGCAAGGCTTTTTTCCACTGAGCTGCCTGACAGGGCAAGGGGGAGGAGGCTTTCTAGACTCCCAGGGTAGTCCCCGGGGATTGCTGCTTGTCCTCTGTAGCACTGAGCACAACCCCTTGTCAGGGATCCCCTCTGGGCTTGGTTCTTGCCTGCTGCTCTCGCACCACTCGTGCCCTGGCTCTTTCTGGCTCCATTGCCCAGTGCAAGCTTGGAGCTGGATCCTCATCGCTCACATTCTCTCTTTTCAGGAGACAGGGACTGCTTGGCCTGGCTTCCTGTTGCTGCTTTGTGTACCTGTGATTTAACTTTGCCAGACTGCAGAATAAGGAGACGGGCAGAAGGAGAAGAAAGGCAAGAGAAGTTAAAGGGCAGAAAAATATGAGGAGGGCAGAATGCAGCAAGAAGGGCTGAAGATGGCAAGAAGAGAAGAATAATACATAGGACAAAAGGAGAAGGGCAAAAAGAGGAGAAGATCAGAAGAAGGAAAGAAAAAGAAGAGTGGAAGAAGGAGACATGGGTGGAAGATGGAGAGAAGGTCAGAAGAAGGAGAGAAGGTGTGTGGTGAAATAAATCAGTAGTTCAATGCACCAACCTTTCCTTTCGGAGCTGTGCTGGACTTCATCATGCAGTGATAAGTTCTCTCGTGTAAACCCTTACGTGTGAGTTGTCAATTGCAGCATGAGAGCTGTAGGGGGTTCTCTTCTGCAATAACTTCAGCTTGACTCTTGTCTCTTACCAAGTTCTCTTCCGGAAGACACGGGTTGTTCAGTGCTACGGTAAGATCTTCATGCTGTTCTGTAGAGAAAAGTCAATTAAATGCATCAGAACTGAGTCTCATGGGAGAAGGGTGGTGTTGTTACAAAAAAGTAGTACATCTTTTAGTTTTGGTGACTCTTTACTAAGAGTGACAGCTAAGGAAATCCCTTAGGGTAAATCAAGAAAGAGAAAGGTTTGCCTCAGTAGTGAGCTCTCTGCTCACAAGGGTGGGTTTCAGTTTTGGGATTTTTTTTTGTTTGCCTTTTATATAAGTGTTAACCAAAGCAAATGGGTTGTGCAGCATTATTTAACACACCCACAGCTGGCACAGCCTCATTGAGTGGATTTTCTGCTCCTCAGATCTCCTTTGCCCCCACTTGAGCCTGAGCCTGTCCCTGTAAGGAAGCGATAAGGAGGGCAGTGACAATGTGGCTGCCAAGCGCTTTTATCCTGGCAGCTTGTTTGAGTTGTATGTGCCCTGCTGCCCCCCTGGGCCTACATGTCTGCCTGTGGCTGAGGGGACACGCTCCTGTCTCAGCTCCATGGCTCTGACTTTTCTTTTTCTCTCATGCAGGCAGCTTGGCACAAGTCTTGCAGCAAAGCCCCGTACCCGTCACCAAGGCAGAACGCGGAACAGTGCTCATCAGCTGCCATGTCCCCCACCCTGACTTCAGCACTGTGTTCGTTCACTGGTACTGAGAGAGGCCCCGCGCAGCTCCCCAGCACGTTGCCTGTGTGTCCTCCAGGCTCTTCCTCAAAAACAAGGCCAATGAGGGCAAGTTCAGTGTTGAGAAAGACCCCACCAAAGCCATCTGCACCCTCACAGCGAGCAAAGGGACTCTACAAGACGCCACGACCTGCTACTGTGCTAGGCGAGATGCACTGCAGTAGAAAGCCATTGGAGCCCTGCACAGAGACATGCTCTGCTTTCTGGACTAGACCCTTGAGTGTTTGACAACACAGGAATATCCCCACCTACTTTCCCCATCAGCCTTGGATCTGACACCCTGTGCAGGCAGCTGGGTACCAAAGATGCTGCCGAGCCAGCGCACGCTTTGCAGACACACGCTACAGCCAGCACCAGCCAAGCTGTTAGTGCACTTTAACAGCAAAAAGGGTGTTTTCAGAGGTCTGGCTGGGTTGCCCCTCTGTAGGTCTCCAGGATGGCAGGTGGGGCTAGCAAATAGAAGGAAAAAATCTTTCTCTTCCCACTACCCTTCAAGCTACACTGGAATAAATACCCAGTTCCATTATTTGCACAGCAGAATAGTAGGACAGAAGTGAACATAAGCTTGAAGCACGGTTCAAGACTGCAGATGTAATATACTCACTTTGTACTTCTCCACAGGTAGAGATTCTCATTTTATTTTCTCCTTCTTTTCAGTTTGGAGTTGATCAAATCTTCACTTATGTTAAACCAAGTCTCTTAATTTACTTGTGTGGGGTTTCTCATCTAACACGGCAGCAAACCTGCAAAGCAAAGAGCACAGATACTGATACTTCCATTCTGCAAACAGAAAACAGTGTTTCTTTGCATAAACCCCAGCATTTGGAGAGGCCGCCCTGGGGTGCAGCATCTCGCCTTCCCTGGGATAAGCAGCAGTCACTAGCACAGGAATACTACCACTGAGCTCCCAAATGGCTGCTGGTTATTCTTCCTGGCCTTGGGCATTCAGGCTGTGTGATGAGCAGTAATTTGAGACCCCCCCAAATTCATTAAGCTCCATGTTCCTATTTTTTCCTCCTTTTTTATTGGCAGGACACCCGAGAAAAAGCGTGTGACCGCAGGCATTGTTTAGCAGCTTCAGCTAGTCCAAAAGCAGTGGTAAAATGGCTTCAGATCACAAAATTACTTTGTAAACCAGCTACAGTAATTGTGTCTTTGTGCACGAGAGAGAGGAGGTGAGTTTGTGCCACTTGTGTACGAGCACTCATGGGGCTGTTCACATTCAGCAGGGTTCAGTCAGGCGGCTTTACCTCCACATCACCCGCCTGCTGCCAGCGCTGCCTCTCCGGATGATGCCCAAGTGAGTCATTTCCTTTCCTCGGCCGCAGTGCTCCATCCCTGCGGGGAGAGCCCTCAGCTTCCTCTTCCTCGGGGAGGCAGATGCCAGCAAGAGCCCTCAGGATGCTGCTGCTCCTGCTCCTGGCCTTGGCTGCAGCCTGCTCTCGTAGGTTCCCCTTGTTGCCACGGCATGGGGCAGTGGCAAGAGGCACCCGTATCGATGTCTGTGAGCGAACAGCAGGCTAAGAGTGTTTGTTGTGTTTCCTCTTCTTCTTTTTAGATGGGCAAGCACAAGTGCTTCTGAGGCAGAGGCTCTCCATTACCACAGAGCCAACTAAAACTGCACAGATTGAGTGTGTATTCGAGGGCATGTCAAGGGCTGACTTCCAGGCTGTCTATGTAAATTGGTACCAGCATCTTCCCTCCAGAGCTCCTGAACGGATTCTGTATATCAGAACAGGTCAAGCTTATTATGACAATGACTCCCACAAGAACAAGTATTCTTCTTTGAAGAAAAGCCCAAACATCTGCACTTTCACCATCAATGACATCAACTCCAACGATGAAGGCACCTACTACTGTGCCTACTGGCAGGACCACAGAACTAGCAAACCTCAGGCAGCCTGTACAGAAAGCTGTACCCTGCGTGGCAGGCTGTCAAGTGCAGAGAGCCACACTTGCACCTTCCTGCCTCTAAGGCATCCCAACAGGTTTATGCTGAGTATTTAAGTACAAATAATGGAGAGAGAGAAAAGCAAAGAAATGCAGTGTGCTACAGCTCAGCTGGTGTCATGTTCTGTGCTGGGGAAAAGGAGCACTCCTATGGGTGATGGTACTACCGCTGAATTATACGGTAACAGAGATCATCTGTGCATAATACAAATACTTTCTTGAGGTACCAAAAATGTTACCAAAGCAGGCAGAGTGTTCTAGGAAAGGCTTGTGGGACAGCTTTGGGGTGTCTGAGGGGAGGAGAACATCCTTGGGAAGAGCTGAGTTGAACAACTTGAGTTTTTATGTGTGCGCTCAGCAGGTAAGTGTGAGACGAATGTGCTAGACAGAATCATGTAGAAAGAAAATTCTATGTGAATTTTTCATGAAGAAAACTTACTTCAGATGACTGATTTTTTTAAGGTCCTTTCTACACTGTTACTGCTGTGGTTTAGCTTGCCAGTAAATTTAACCCCCTCCATGGCAGCAAGTTGAAGAACAAACGTTGGATGTGCTGAATGAGTCATTTCCTCCTCTCAGCTGTTCGATGCTTTCTCCACTTGAAGGGCTTTAGAACGTTCTGACTCTATTTCATTCCCAGGTTTAACCTGCTAAGGCAGCATGTTGCTGCTTCCACTCTTACTTGCAGCTTCATTTTGGTCCCGTAAGCCCTTTATTCCTCTTCCCTAATCCTTCCTGTGCATGGAGAACATGCTCCTGGCTCCACACTCCAGCAGTTTCTTCCCCTCACACCGTTTCTCTGCTTCTCCTTCCAGGTGGAGACACATGGATGGTGCCGGTGCAAACCCCAACGCTGCAAGTGCAGATGCAGGGCACGTCCACCAGCATGCTGTGCCAATTGCAAGCTGAAGCCATCGTGCACTGGTACAAGCATCTTCCCGGAGAGCCACCAACGAGGATACTGTATGTGCAGGGACAGTCACCTACTTTTGATTACAGAGGCGATAGCAGGAGATTTCAAGTTCAGAGGCATGCTTCAAAGTATCATCATACTCTCAAGATAAATGATTTGACTCCGAGGGATTCTGGTACTTACTACTGTGCGTATTGGTATGCTGGAGGCATCACAGTGTTAGTTGGGCAAAGATAAGCCACACAAATAGGTGCTTTGTGCTCTGAACTCTGCTAAAAATACTTGCCTATTCCAGCCTCTCTCTCTCATGATTTTCTGCAGCAGGATATGCAAAGCAACAGTATCTTGTGACAACTGTTAAATACGTGATGTTAGCAATCAGTAAGTGTATCATTTCAGTACTCACACATATTTGTAACATCCAGAAACTGGAGGATTCCATCACTTTAGGGTAAATGCATGAAACATTGCTCTTAAAACGAAGACTTGGTTGTACTGAAAGCACCCACCTGTCTATGTGTGTGAACAACTGTCCACTGTAATTTTCTCTTCTCTATTAGAATCCTTGGAGGAAGCAGAGGAACAAATCTCCATCCCCTCAGTGCTTTCTCTTCATAAAAAGACAGGAATAGAAATGAGACTGGGTGATCTTGCACATCCTACTTCATCTTTGGTTTTTTTCTTGCTTTGCATTGTGCTTACTACAAATCCCTACAAAGACTGATATTCAAGAATCTCATCCAACCTCAAGAAGAGTTCAGTCCACCAGTCCTAGAAACCATGTACAGACACATGTGGGTGAAGAAGGTAATCGGGAGCAGGCAGCTGGGATTTAAGAAGGAGAAGCTATTTAGATAACTTTAGGTAATGAAGCTCTCTGCAAAGTGGACATTGTCCATATGGTGAAAATATGAACCTGGAAAGGTGTTTTCTTGAAAATACTCTGGCCACTGCATGTGTCCTCTTGGCACAGACACCATCAGGTTTGATCTGCAATTATTCCTACTGGGGTACTTGTGGTGGTAGAAAACTACAGTACAAAACCTAGACAGTGTCTGTAATTTAGACTTTTAATTGTGGGAGACACTCACCACCATATTCCTTTACTCTTGATCTGAGGTCAGGTGCTTAACAGATTTCTGCTGTGTGATCAGAAGAAGAGCTACAGACTGCCACTGTTCTGTACAAGTCTTGATAGTTTTTGGCAAGAGGGACTTGATTTCATGTCCTCAACATACAATTGCCAATGCAGTTTTCACTCTCATTAACTACAGTTGCCCTCACAGCAGACTGACTATGGGATGCTGCTGGGATGAGTGACCTTTCCCTGTACCTTCCTCCCCTCGTCTTAAAGTCTGTATCATAATTGTCTTTTCCTCACTACTTTGTTGTGTTTACCAGTCCATAAGTCATTTCTCTTCATTGCCCTCAGGGTAGGCTGACAGCAAATGAAACAGACTTTCTCATGGTTATTTACTGGGAAGAGAGGGACCCTGTCCATTGCCACCACACAGAGGTAAGTGTCTCTCCTTGCCTGCCTCTCCCTGGAGCCCTGCACTCATAAGCACCTTCCCAAGTCATTTAGCAACACATGCTTATTGCTGGCTTCCTGCATGTGTCCAACTGCCAGCAGGAGGGAGGCTGAAGCAGCTCATCTCCCTCACAGCCATCATGGAGGAGCTCCGTGTGCCACCAGCCCTGCTCCCCGAGGCGCCCCTCTGTAATGGCTGTTGACAGCAGCCCTCACAACCTTGCTTTTGGATTCCAGCCTTCCCTTCTCAGAAATGGTCTCATCCCAACTGAGCTTTGCAACTGAAATCCTGCGGCCGTGCACTTAGTCCTGCACCCAAAACCAAAGGGCAGTCATGTCCCTGGGGTGCAGCTACCCTGGTCCCTGCAGACTGATGGCCTCTGGCTGCTTCAGTGGAGGGCAGCACCAGCACGGGTGCATTGCCATCCCAGAGCTGTATGACTAAGCTGGCTCAAGTCTTACAGAGCCACAATCATCGGATTTACTAATGTTTCTCATATTTATCTGAAACGTAGACAAGACTGCAGCCTTCTAACCAGAGTGACCATTTACCAGCCTGGAGAGGGTTAGCTGTAAATGTGCCCCATCCACTTGCATGCGGAAGACCTGTCGCTGAAGAACGCTCAAGAGTCACCTCCTCCTCCCACAGAAGACTGTCCCCATCTGGGGTCCCTTTCACGCTCCTCTGACTCTCAATGACAGCAGAGCCTGACAAGCAAACATGCTGCTGCTGGCAGCACTTGTGGCTGCAGCCACTTGGTCTTGTAAGTCCTTCTTCATTCCCTTATCTTTCCTCATAGGCACCCATGGCTGTGCTAACAGGCATCTTCCCCAGATCCCTGAATTCCAGCTAATGCCATCATTTCTCCTTTTCTCTTTCCTAGATGGATTTGCACAACAACATCCTGTGCAGAGCCCTATATCTATCACCAAGTTCCAAAAAGGTGCACGGATGACATGTGAAATTCAGACTTCAGTGGAAAAATTTGATGGCACCATCATACACTGGTATCAACACAAGGAGGGTAAAGCTCCAGAGAGGATCTTACACTTTTCAGAAGGGAAAGTTTCAGTTGAAACTGGCTTTCTAGCAACCAGGTACACGGTTGAAAAAGTTTCTAGCCAGAAACAATTTATTCTTACAATAAAAAGTGTAATTCCGGACGACGCTGCTACTTACTACTGTGCTTACTGGGACTCTCACCATGACAGAAACTCAAAGATCATCACAGCAAAAAGTCCTCATTCAACAGCTGAACTACAGGTGTCACGAAGTGAGGGGTTTATGGTTGCTCAAAGAATCACCATCAAAGGTATCAGCAAAAGTAGTTCTACTGAGCATCTACGAATGACTCTCTCGGACTTCACAGAGTTTCATGGCAAGGTTCGCTCTATTACTTGCCTCATGGGTGAAACATGCAAAGGAAGATTGAGGTAAAGTCAAGCTAAAAGGATTGATACAAGACCAAAGGCACAAAAGGGTAAGGGAGACAATAGGATTGACTACATTTGCTGTATCAATTTATGCTCACTTACACACACACACACACAGATGTATAAAGGCACCTGTTAACAAGTCCCCTGGAGCTCAGTGAAACGTTCATGTCAGATGTCTTGGCATTTCTCAGCAGGTGAGTGTTGAGCCTTGAGGAGGGGAGGCCTCAGCCCAGGTCCCATCAACAGCTTTCGGTGATGGTCCTTCACGTATCACAAACTGGAATTTGTGAGCCCCGAGGAGCATCCCACTTGGAGGGAGATGCTGGTCGCAGCCCGCTGCAGTCCAGGAGAGCTCGAAGGAGCTCACTTGGGACCACTGTTTATAGGGTGGAATGATTTGAAATAGCCATTAGCAAACATCCATCGTGACCAGTAAGTAATAACTAGGAATTTTTCAGAACTCCAATGGTACCATTCCACTTGGGCTATGATCAAGGGAAGGAGTGTTCCAGGGATGTCAGGGAATGACTGACTATCCCTGCCCTTGCTTCCCCTTAGCCAGACAACAGGACTCCCTGGTACAATCAGTGCCTCCCTCCTTAGCCTTGCAGATTTCCTGGTATGGACAAGGGATGCTTCAGTGCCTGACTCACTACACAAAGGCCAAGGCCTGAACGGCATTACTGAGATCATGGCAGAGCCCAGAGAATGCAGTGAGGAGGGAATGCACTGCTACACCCGGTCTTCTCACTCCATCTGGTATGAGCTGCTGAAAGGCCAAACCTCTTTCTGCTACCCAAAAGGAGCAGCTAACCCCACACAGCTGTCCTTTTCAACGTGTGAGTTGTCATTTGCACCCTGGTCTTCAAACACACATCTACTGTCTTAAGGGTAAAGGAAATGTTCACTGCCTTAAGACTTTGCTCAGAAATACTAGAAACTCACCTATTTCTATGCTGTTTGCACAGCCATGGCAGAAAGTCTGGTGGCCCTTGAGGAGAGCAAACATTGCATTGATTTTCTAGTCCAGCCACTGTTCTCCCTTAGGAAATAAAAGTCATTAAAAGAAAGACAACATGCTTAAGAATGTACCTTGGTTTTGGAAGTGACATGCTTGCCACCACCTAGCACTGCCAAGCACTCACGTGGCTTGATAAGCCGCCTGGCTTCAAGCATGGGCACTGGGGAAGGAGGGTATATGCTCAGGGCCAACTGATGCCTTGGAATCATCAGCTGCCAAAAGCCAGAGCTTTTGACTGAGCAAGTGCAAAAGGGAACAGTAAAGGTCCCATACCTAACCCATCCTCTCCATTCCAGCTGCTCCTTTTTGCTCAAGTATGTCATCAAGTTCATCTGCACGGTTGCAAGGACCTACTCAGTGGAAAGGGAGCACATTTTCATGTTGTTGTTCCTGGAAATAGGTCAGCATGTGGTACTGGAGGTCTTCAAAGTCTTTAGTCTGGCAAAGAAAACTGAAATAGACAGCTTTGGCCTGAAGGCTCATAAGATTTTAAGTAAGTAAAAAAAAAGAGTGTTATTTTCACTTAAAACTTAGTAGCTGTCAGAGGAGGAAGATTTTCTGTTTATTCCCCCTGAGATCTGGAGGTGGGCATTTTTGTTCTTTGTTTTGAGCTGTATCATTCCTGCAACCATCTTCTTGGTTATCACTGTCTGTGTTTCACTGGTGTTGCATCTGAATCACCCAAAAAGTTGAAGGCAGTTACCAAAAGTAGTACTAAAGAACTTTCCATAGTTAAGAAGAACTTTTCATACTTATGGCTTATATGCAATGCATCCCTCCTAGCTACTGCCTCAAGATGCATGCTGACCCTAATGCCCAAGAGATTAATCCACAGAGGTTTTCCTCTACCATCAAGCCTCTCCCTAGTGTTTTCTTTTACTGCGGTACCCAGATACTCTCCTCATTTGGTTCATTGAAGTGTAATTCATTAAAGAATATTAGTCTGCTGGGATGAAAAAATGACACAACCATTTCAAATATGTATTAGATTTCCAAATGGCTATATGTTAGGTTTGTTCTCCTCATACATGCAAGGCCAGATCATACAGACGGGTTAGACAAGCTGACTGCAGTATGCGGTGTTTTGCTATTTCATTTCTAATGAGACCTCCCTGCTACTCACTGTCATGACTATAATCCAACAGTCCCACCAGCTGCAGGTGAGATGGTCTAAGGACATGGCAAAGCACCATGGAAAGGAAGGAAAAGCACTGGTTTTCACCATTCTCTGTCTACGTCGCTCCTGCCGTTCCTTTGTGGTTAAGAATATGATGTTGCTGCTGAGGAGCCTTTGGAGTAGGTGAGTGCTTTTGTTACACCTACTTCAATAGAAAGACCTTCACCCTCAGTCTCATTCCTCCCTCTAAGCACAACTTCTTAACATTGTTTTGTAGTCACTATGCCACATGGGATCCCAGAAGAACTCAAACTCAGTTGCTTTTGAATAGCAAACTAAGCACACAGGCTCTTTGATCAACAGTAGTGGTGACTGCTCTGATGTTATCTTGGGCTGTTCTATAAGAAACCTGTACACAAAGGAAAAGCCTCCTTCTCCCACTGACTAGTATAGGAAAAGCTGCCAGTGAGCCACTGCTGCAGAACCTGGAACGATTTCAGGAGGTGGATGGACAATAACCACATACCATGGGCAGAAAATGCAACCTGCAGCACACGGACACCTTTCTGATGTTTATGGTGCTGGATCTCCCTCCTTTCCCTCTGCTGAATTGCATTAAGACAACTGAAAATGAACTCCATGCTAGTAGTACTTGATGTCACTTACTTGCAGGTGAGAGCTTTGGGAAAGCGCAGGATCATCCCACGGAGGTATGTGTTTTAACATGCTCAACCCTGTGCACCTATTTGTGTGCCTAAAATTGAAGAGAAACCTTCACCTAATGCTTTAGGTGTTAAGCAGAAGGGTTATCTAACAGATTTGCAACAGTTTAGGAAAGAGATTTGCTCCAAAGGGCATTAGATACCAGCCTGATAACCAGGTGTAAGTCTGAAATTCCTGACATCCTCCCAGCAGCCAAGGGCCAAACCTTCACACAGTCTCCTGGAACTGATTGGGAAAAAATCCCACGGGATTTTCTTCAGCAATGGTACAGCAAGAGCACCTTAGCTTATTGCAAAGCCAAAATACACTGTGGAGCACCTGGATCAAATACTTTGGTGCGGGAACCAAGCTAATCATCTCTAGTAAGTACCATTATTACTGATGTGATTTTCACAAAGGCGTTTGGGTGGGTGCTCAGATAGTATGAAAGACTGTAGGAAAACTAATTTCTGCCTGAATAAATGAGGTTTTATTTGTGAACTGCTCATGGTGCCCCAGTTGGGTGGGTTGACGGGCAATAAATATATTGACCTTTGGGAAAGAAAAGTGGTTGCCTCTAGAACAATTACTGAAAACTTGTTAAGGATGGGGAATGGAAAAATGATACGGAAAAATGTAAATACTGGGATGGATTCATTCCTGTTCTGGGAAAGAAAAGTCAACTGCTTCAAAGTTTACTCTTGGAACAGCAAGTGAGAAATCCAAAATGTTTCTTATGGATAGAGGTGGTTCAGTCTAACTTGGTTGGGAAGGAAAAATACCTGGAATGTCAGAAATACCTAATTCCTGGCCCTACTGAAAGTAATTGATTTACTTTTGCATTTGTATTACTCTAAATATGGTGAAGCTATGCAATCAATAGGATAAATGCTGCTTTCAGTATAAAGCACATAGCAGTGCTTACAGTATGCTGCTCACAAAGTAGGTGATATTATCAAGATGACTATAATTAAGCCGTATCATAAAAAGCAGAAGAGATTTAACAGCAATTTAAAATGTTATCCATGCCTCTGACCAAAAATGTTCTCTGCTGCAATTTCCAACTAAACTTTGCCCATGTAGAGGCAGCTGCTTTTGCTAAGACAACAGCGTAACCGCCTAGGAAAGGCATGAACTTAGTTATGAGCATCAGTAAGCTTTGTTTAGAATATGGACTTTGCATTTAAAATACAGGCTTCAAAATGAGAGTTTGATGAAACTTTAGTTAAGGTACTTTTACACAATATGTAATTCACAAAATAGGACACTTGGGGGGGGGGTGTGGAGCTTACCTGTATATTTAAATCAATAACTAGTAAACTTCCTTAATTTCCTTTGGGAGTCACAATGTAGCCGCATTTCTTCTTAAAACAGCAAAAAGAGGTTTCTTCAGAGAAAACCTAGCAGACCAGAGGCAAGAGCTCTTTGTTAGAGAAACCCCAGAGCCAAAAAGGATTAGAACATAGTTATAAAATAAGCAATCACTACAAAAAAATCAAAGTATTTGTAAAAATGGCACTCTACTTGGTGTTGAAAATTCAGCTGTTGCACTGGGCCAGGTCTATCAGCAGCCTTTAAATCAGAGAGGCTTTTTCTGTAGCCTATGCAAGGGAAGTGCAGGGTAGGAGATATTGCTAAGCGTTATCAGACTGTGGGATGCTGATGTCAAAATATTTGGAAGTGGAACTAAGCTTATTGTTTCAAGTAAGTACAAAATGTAAAACTTAACTGCTTCTGAAATGCTTTTCAGTGAAGTTAGATACTGGCTGCATGAAGTGCTTTGTGTTTTTAGCTCCTGCTAGTTTTAACCCTACTGAATGCTTTGCAGGATTCTCCTTTTGAACGGCTTTTCCATATGTAGAATACAATATAATTGTTTTCTATTTATGTATAGAATGGGGGAAACAACAGCTATTGCAGCACAGACATGTAACTAACCCCTTCATTATTTTCTTTTTAAAGATTAATTTAAATATGGCAAAGACAGCATCCAGAGAACTGAAAGATGGCTTTTTAAACATGCATATTCAAACATTGTGAGATTTCTAATTCATTCTGAAAGAAAAGCATCAAACCTTTGGGTTACTCAAATTCTTTGAAAAGCAAAACCATCTTTAGACCTACGTCTCTCTTGCCCCCAGCTTTACTGAAGGAATAAGCAGGGAATCAAGCAGCTCTGAATTAAGCACAAAAGAAGAAAACCCCTGCCCAATACAAAGAGCAATATGCAATGGCTATTGCCAAAATCCTCATTTAATTAGGCCAGTAAAAGTGAAATAACTTGTCTGTAATTATTTTTGTCATGGCCACAGCACTTTGGCTCTTCTTATTGCTTAAAAACACATATAGGTGTTTCTAAGAGGTGATCCTTTTTTATGCCTTTCCTGTAGAGACGCTTATTTTAATGGGAAGTGGAGGACAAGAATCCTCTTTTTCCCATTAAATGTGCTTTAAATGCCATAATCCTGGAGTAAACAACTGCACAAACACAGAGGAACTATTGCTACCAAATGTTTCAAGCCTGGTTAGATACATAGACTTGTACTAGCATGTCAAGAAAAGATTGGTTTTAGTGATTTGTGTCAGAAAGGCTAAGTAAATCATAACTATAATTCAACAGAAATATCTGTATCAGGATAAGTGTTGTTTTTAGTGAAAATCCTCACCTTGTTGATCAGGTAGTTGCCATGTTTTAGTAGCTAAGTTTAAATTAATTTTCACTCCAATTCTATAAGATTTTGTCTTTATGTGGCCAAGACTTCTGGCCAATTAATAGAGTAAAAGGGCTGTAGTTACCTCACGCTTAGGATCAGGCATTTCATCACAGCTTGTCTCTTCAGGAGTGACTATCCAACATTAAGTTACTCCTAAAGGAAAGAAATGGAGAAAACCATGATTTAGGATAAGTGGCCTTAATTCAGTTGAATCATCGGGGTTTGAGCTTGAGCAGAATCTTTACACAGATTTATACTGAAAAAGCCAAGCTGCCATCAACTTGTAGTGAATTTGAATTTTTTCTCCTTAGTCTCCTTCAATTAGTTCTCATCAAACCAAAGTTGCTCCAGACTGAATAATGCAGTTAACAGAAGGGCTGGGATTTGAGAGACAGGTTTGGCATTTGCACTTGGTGGAATAGATGAGGGTTTTGAAGCTTACAACAGAACAGGAATATTAATCCAACATAAACTGGCAATACAGGATTCTTCTGTAAGAATCTTCCCAGGGAATTTAGGCACTCACCAGGTTGCAATGGGCAAGCTGAGACTGAACTTGAGACTGAACTTAAGACTGAACCAAACTCTCCAAACCCAGTTTATCTCCTAAACATTACTGAAGTATCTACCTTAATTTCATCAACTGTATTGAAGTTCAGAGTTCAAAAGGCTAGAATTATTTTTTGTAATTATATTATTAAAGATAGATTCTACTTAAATTTATTTCTACATTACCTAAAGTTGGATTAAACTTTCTGCCCTTTTAAATCAAAATGGTGAAGTTGAAGCATTAGTTTGCATGAGTATTTTTTTCAACAGGGAGAAACATGAAGCCCTGAATCAAAACCTAATAGACTTGAAAGTCCAAACAAGTGTTAGGACAGAGGGAGGGAGGTGTAAGACATAAACAGGGAAAGATGTGGCCACTCAAAACAAATCTGCGGAGTGAAAGCTTCTTACGATGATTAATATTAATAAGAACATTTGCTAATGGCTTTAAAATATCAAGGATTTTGTGGGCACAAAGATGAATTCAGCAGCTGATTCTTACGAGACAGTGTTCACAAACAGGTTTCAGTGGAAAATTTCAGGGGAAATCCTGGACCTTTGAAAATGTTGCCATTGGTTTCAGTGTTGGCAGGATTTCATGTAAGGTGCACATAGATTTTGCTGGGGAGAAGCCAGAAGGCTCTGGGGAAGGACACGCACAGGAATGATGGAAGTTGTCGTCTCTCTGCAACATACATGGACGCACATGTAATGTTTCCTTTTGGCACTGACTACCTGCAACAGCACTTGTGTAGGCAAGTACAGCAGGATTTGAGGCTGAAAAGTCCCAATCCTGCATCCATTTAAACCCTAAAGGAAACACGGTATTTCAATCAATGCCACAGGCAACAACACTCTGGGTTTGTTTTGGTGTTTTTTAAAACAAAGGATGGCACAGATTTGCTTGAAAGTGAATTTAAAATACGTATCACTAGAGGCTCTGGGGATAGCAGCAGTAGCTGAGATTGAATTCTATTTTTCTACAGCCATGTAGCCAAAAGAATAAACTCTTAATGTTCATATGGTGGTGGTTAAATCTGGCCCTTGTCCAACCAAAACGTCCCAAGCAGTTTCTGTAAGAGAATGTACCAGTGTGGGATGAGAAAGACATTTGGTTCTGGCACAAAACTCATCGTCTCCAGTAAGTGTTTGCAAAGACTTATTTTTTTAAAGTTGTGTCGTGGGAAGGCTTTGGAGAGAAGGTTGACAGCTCTCTAAAGTATCTGGGGAAGCTCACTTCTAGCTAGGTCAGGACTCTATTACATCATTATTAATGGTAATACCTGAAGTCGCTGGCAAGCAGGGCAAGAATGCTGTTTGTAATCGGAATGTGCTGAGTGCTCTCAGCTCCCACTGGCTTGAAGGGGAACTGGGGAGCTTTAAGTATCAGTCAAAATTACTCCATTTTGTGGATTATTCAAGTAGTGAGAAGTTCAGCTTAAGAACACATTGACCTTATTTATAAATCTTAGTTATAGGTGCTGATGAAGAAACTGTAGAGGAGTTTCATTAAGAAAACTTCATAGTTAATCTTACAAAAGCATGTATTTTGAACCCAAATTCATTAATAGCTCATTGATTACAAGCCTAACTCCAGAATTTTCTTTGCACTGTGTTTTGCAGACTGACTGCCTTATTACAAGAGAGAAAAGACAGATTTTAGCTTAAAAAATATCTACATGTGCTTCTATATTACTTTAAAATAACAAAAGACCTACATACCTCTTAAAACCTGCCTTAGAAAACTGTTTAAAAACTAAACTGCGAATTTCTTGAAAGTTTAACTAAAGCAAAAAAGACACTGGAGTGGAAATTCATTACTTTAAAGTTCTTCAGAAAGGCTCAGATTATTTGCCCAAAATAAAAACACAAGAACATAAACCATCTTGTGGACTTGGCAACTTTATAGATCAGCCTGAAAATACACCAAAATCTCCAGCCAATTCTACAAGTTTTCATCCTTTTTTCCCCATAAACATACCTACAGTTTATGGAGATTTTTTTTTCCACATACACACATATATACACGTGTATATATGCAAAACTTAATTTATTCAGTTCTCTGCTCTCTTCTATTTGCCTGTGTGTGTACATGGGACTCTTCCATGCATGCACACAGCTGCAATTAATCAAGACATACACTTCCTCAGGATTGTGATATGATTGGAATGTTTCATTTAAGCTAGGCACCTTTTTACCATGTTTTTAAATCTATTCTAGTATTAAAAAGTAGACCCAGTTTACTGTAGTCTTCCTCTACCAGATGTGCTGCTTGACAAGAAACATGAACAAAGCCATCTAGACATTGGTGTTCACTAAGCAATTTAGGACTTAAATAATATTTCTCCATGCACATGGTACGTATCAAAACTCTCCAGATGAAACACTCTCCAGACTCTGGAAGACTCTATATTGTGTAAATAAGTATGAGTTTAGATTAGTTGAATTGAGTCTTGTTTTTGATTTGGAGCTTAATTTTCTGTACCATACTCATAAAAGCTGCTATCCATTTTAATTCTCTATAAAATAACTCATTAAAAAATAAGGCTAAAAGTCATATTTTCTATTTCCAATTTTTCTTAATAATACTGTAACTGGTTTTGACTGAAAATTAAAACTTACCATTTGGGTCTATTGAAATAATATCTACTATAAACTGTGTTCGAATGCCAGGTTCCTTCCGCTCGCCAAACACTTTCTTACTTCAAGGATGGAAGGAGCTGTAATTCATCCATCTTATTATCTAAAGCTCTTTTCACACATGAGACATTTCTATTTCCATCCTAAGTGTTTAATTACAAATTAGAGAGCCAGAACATTTGTTAATAAGACATTTAGGTTGCTGCTCTTCAGAATGTGTATTTCGTGGTGGCGTATTTATTTACTGTATTCTATTGATCTTCCAACTCTCTATTGTGTTATTTTTTTCCTCCACTATCCAATCCAGACAAAGGAAGTTCTCCACCAGCAAACTCTGAAATCCTGCAGAAGGAACATGAAGATCAGATAACATACGTTTGCCTTGTTGAGAAGTTCTACCCAGAAGTTATTCAGGTGACTTGGACCAATGAAAAAAATGAGGAGGTAACAGACAATGTAGTAAAAGGAGACATTTGGAAGGACACAAAAAATGATGAATACTCAGTTGGCAGCTGGCTAACTGTACCAGTGGAGAACAAAGACAAGAACTATTACTGCAGATACAAGCATGAAAGCCAAGAGGGTTCACTGCCAACACAAGGTATACACTAAAATGTTAAAAGTTATATACTAAATGTTATAAAGTTAGATACTAAAATGTTATGTTAAAAACTTCATTCCCTATATCATTAGAGACATCACTTTTCTTTGCAATAAAATCATACAAATAATGCTTTCTATTATCATTCCCGAAAAGCATCCGTGCTCATTGGCACAGCAATAGTTAAAATATGCAATGTTTCCCCAGGAAAAGCAACCCAGCCTGTGCTATGCTTCCCCAGGGAATGTCCCTCTGCAACAGGAGAAGAGCAGTTCTTGAACCTCATCAGGTGTTAACTAGAACAGCTCTAAAAGCTCTGCACTGAGCTGTGTCAGTTACTTTCCAGTCTACAGCAGATTCTGAGAACAGTATTAACTCTCTGTTCAACCCATGACCGAGAGGTGCAAGTCCCTCTGACACCCCCTGACATTAGCCACAGCTATAAAAAAATTAAAGTTAAACCCAAGGTTGCTGGGGATGTAGAACAAAGTTTAAATGTCTTACTTACTCAGTGTCCAGCAATGGTGAGGTAACGCCATGTCCGAAAATAAGATGTCTCATTTAATTGAGGGAAGATTATGCAAAGCAGAATCCGAAAGGCAATGCCCTTTGAAAGAAAAAAGTAACCTATAATCAATGCAAATCGTATCAATCATGGTAATATCTTTTTAAAAGCTGCCTATATTGGTTTAAATTTATCTTTCCTCAGTACCTACCTTTGTTGAACTTACTATAAATCAATACAACTCAAGTGAGAGCATGGCCATAACAACCATCAAAATATAATCTGACAAAAATATGCTTTAAGTTTATTTAGATGGAGGATGTACTTAGAGATGTAATACGGATGCCTTTAAGCCCATGTATCAATGGATACAAACACCATAATCAAGAACAAATTTGCTGCTTCAAGCACAGAAAGAGTTTATTTATTTTGGAGAACAAGCACCACCAAAATAGCAAATTCCCCATAAGGGAACCTCAGATCATGCTCTCCTCAGGATTATTCCTTACTGTAGAGCAGCCATTAAGTAACAGACTAATTGAGGTCCCTTACAATGTAAATTACTCTGCGTTTGTAATAACAGTACATTGTGAAGGCAGATTCCAGCCACTTCAGTGACAAGACCAGGTGGACTCAGTTCAAATAAAAGAGACTCTGCCAAGGAACAGCTTAAGGGACACATTTCTAAAAGGACAAACTTCCCACTTACGGCAACAAATACCCCGTTACTTCTCTATGAGCGTTTTCCTCCCTTCAAATTCTCTGTGCAAATGAATCCTACTCATGAACATCTGCTCTGCAGACAGATCTTAAACATCTCTTTTGCTGTTTAATACTAACTTCCTATTTCACTGTCGCTGTACATGTTACTGCCTCTTCCCCCCC